GAAAATTGTGAAGTAGGGTTAGTCCATTTCGACCCCCAAACATACACGTACAAACGCACTTTCATAAATACACCCTTTCAAATTGGGCGATTGGGGGGTGAAACGTTAAGCGGGGGTCCCTGTATTGTAAAATGTTTGGAAGAGAGGGAGAAAATGTTCACTCCAGCATAAAAAAAGACACTGACGATGTTAAAACCACCCCTTGTTTTTTTGTAAAATTTTCCTTTTTCAATTATATCGATTTTTTATTATTTTATTATTATTTTTTTATTTTTAATTATTACTTTTGTTATTATAGCAATAGCAAAAATGTTCGTTCTTGGTGTTCAAGAGTAAAACAGATGTCACCGTCTAATACCTTTCCTAATACCCATTCCAATATGCAGTCATAATGGGTTTAATTTTTATTCGTAGCTTAATAGCAAATAAAGAACAAACAAAAACTCACCAACTGAGTGGTGGGGGGGCTGGTGCCCTTGCGGGGGTCGGAGGGGGGTAGTAGGGAAATCACAGTGGTTTGGGGGAATTTGGGGGAGGCAGTGGTGGATCTGGGTATTTAATAAAATCAGTTATTAAAAAACATACTTATTTAAAACATAAATTTTATTTTGTCATTTACGCGTTTTTATGTTTTTGATTATTCATGGTTTAACAAGTTAAGGAAGCGTATTGTATGTATTTCCCTACAAAATATTGGGGGACCCAAAAATTTACGGTTTTTCAACATTCGCGAGCTTTGATCCCCTAACCCCGCGAATGTTGAGGGAGACCGTAAATACGTTTTTGGACCCTTTAGGGTTAAAAACTAGTAAGTCTAGAAGGATAAAATGGTTTTCTTTTAATTAATCATTATTTTATCTTTACCCAAGCGAGGTAGAGTTTGGGGTTTATAAGAAAAATAATCTTGAAATTGCCATAATGAATAAAAAAATATACAAAAAATGGCACAAAAAACTTTTTAAGGGTGAGTAGTGTTTTAATAGACTAGAAGCATTAAAAAACAGTGGACCCCCGTTTACGATCAGCTCCAAAGGACCCTTATTAAATGATTTATTAAGTGCGTTTGTCGTGTATGTTTGGGGGTCTGAAATGGGCTAATCTAATTCACAATATTCCTTAGGGAACAAATTCGTTCAGTAATGGCACCTGAACATACTTAGGGAATGAAAAAATATCGTAAGGGGGGGGTTTCCACTGTATTTGGGAGAGTTACATCAACTGGTTAGATTTTGTTTTCATGGTTTGGTTAGTTTTGAGAGTGAGGTGATTTTTAAAAATAGTCCTAAATTCATATGCAATCGGGATCTTTTACTGATTCAGTAGTGAATTCCAGATCTTTGGGCAGGGTATAGATGACAGTTTTGGGAAAATGTTATCAGGCTTTAATATGTAATTTGAAGTGAAAAAAGGCTTTCACTTTCACTGGCAGTAGCCCCGAATCTAACCTGCTTTATGAGAGGACCCTCCTGTTCATATAAGTGAAATGAGATATTTTTGCTTGCTTTTAACCCGCGTAGTTTTGCAGTTTTGCTCATCCCCTTGTATCCATGTTCCCCAATATACGTATCCTTTTACACCTTTGTGTATTGTACTAAACTTTGTGTTTAGGTTTGTGCCAAGTTTCTGATTTGGGGGCTGTAACAGAGATAGGGAAGAACATTTAATACTGTACATCATACATATTTTTAACCTTTTTGCTGTTGGTCTCGTAATATTATGGCTTTGAAGCCAGTGTTGGTTCCTTTAATGCTAGGGCCAAAATTCTGTTGGCTTCCAGTCTTGCTGGAGATAATGGTAGGCATACATATGAGAGAATGGGTCTGCATGATCAGTGTGGCAGTATAAAAAATCCTGCAGCACACAGTGCATAATGAGGAAAAAACTGTGGTCGTGTTTTTGGTTAAAACAGCGAATTTGTGGCATATATTTATACTCTACATAGGTAGTAGGTTGGTAGACAGCAACCGCCCAGGGAGGTACTACCGTCCTGCCAAGTGAGTGTAAAACGAAACCCTGAAATTTGTTTTACATGATGGTAGGATTGCTGGTGTTCCTTTTTTCCTGTCTCATAAACATGCAAGATTTCGGGTATGTCTTGCTACTTCTATTTTACACTTAGGTCCCACTTACACATACATGTACAACCCAATATATACACACCCCTTCTGGGTTTTCTTCTATTTTCTTTCTAGTTTTTTATTCTTGTTTATTTTCTCTTATTCTCCATGGGAAGTGGAACAGAATTCTTCTCCGTAAGCCATGCGTTTTTGTAAGAGGCGACTAAAATGCTGGGAGCAAGGGGCTAGTAACCTCTTCCCCTGATTATTACTAAATGTAAAGGAGAAACTTTCGTTTTTCCTTTTGGGCCAACCCGCCTCGGTGGGATACGGCCGGTGTGTTGAAAGAAAGAAAAAATTTATACTCTATGGTATTTATGGTTTTTATTCTCATTTTCTGTCTCTTTTGGAAGGAAGATTATTCAAATTAAGAGATTTTTTAAAGGTTTAAGACTAAAGTATATACTTTGAAATTGAGCTCAAAGTTAGTGGAAATTTCGATTTTTGCAATGTTCAAGAGTAAACAGATCACATCAACGTTAATACATGTCAATGGTGGGTCTAATATGCTTTCCCAAATGCCTGATATTATTTATACTATTTTATAATAATGCGTAGTTACATAACAGTAAATCTTCTATTTTTGTGTGAATAAAATTCAAAATGGAAAGCAAGTGTATTATAAGAGGGGCCTTGAGACATGACTAATGAACAGAGAAAAATGTTATTTTAGTGCCAGGAATGTCTGCATTGTTTATTCTGGACCCTGTTTTGAAATTGACCTTTCTTGAATTTTGTATGAAATTGGCCAAATTACCCAAAATCTTATCACTTCATTGGGTAGTTTAACCCTTTGATGTTGCAGCCCCAAATCCTGAAGTGTCTCCTGGTGTCGAAGAATTTTCAAAAAAAAATATTTTTTTTTTTCTTATGAAAATGTTAAGATTAATTTTCTGATTTTTTTAAAAGCCCAAAAAAAAATTTTTTTTGTGATCAGTACTTACCAAGATATAGGGGCGTAAAGTTGGCAGAAAATGAGCCGTGTTTGGAAAACAGCAGCGAATGCCGCTCACCCGGTAAACTTTGGTTTACTTGTATTCAAGGTTTCTTGTTTTTTTCACTATTTTATTTTTCAGGAAAACTTATGTGGCCTGTGAGCCCAAAGAAAGGTGCAATGTACATTTATACACGCATTGTATACAACACAATAAGCGCACAAACATAATTATAAATGTATACTTAAAAAACTTTTTTAAACAAACAATACAAAAATTGTTTATTACTATTGTTTATAATATTTTAACAAATGTATAGTCACTGGATATGTTCCTAGAAGTTCTGCAGCTTGTGGAATTCTTTGAAACATGGTTTCATACACAGTTGTGTTTTACACTCCTCACACATAAAACGGTGTGTCTGCATTTTTGTGGGCGTTTTTTTTTTTTTTTTTTTTATGTGAAATGACAAAACTCCTCGTCTGAGAAGTTTTCTTCAAAGTATTAGCATGGGTTTTGTTAGGTATTTATTTAGGCAATTTTTTTTTATTTTTTTTATTATCACACGGGCCCAAATTTTCCCACCAAGGCAGGGTGGCCCGAAAAGAAAAACTTTCACCATCATTCACTCCATCACTGTCTTGCCAGAAGGGTGCTTTACACTACAGTTTTTAAAACTGCACTTTAAACACCCCTCCTTCAGAGTGCAGGCGCTGTACTTCCCATCTCCAGGACTCAAGTCCGGCCTGCGGTTTCCCTGAACCCCTTCATAAATTTTACTTTGCTCACACTCCAACAGCATGTCAAGTATTAATTCTAGGCAAATAGTCATGTATCATCTTTTCCTTCCTACCTTCCTGCATTCCTTTCCTACCTTCCTCCTACATTCCTTCCCTCCTTCCTTATTTTTTTCCTTTCCCTTTTCTTCCTGATTTTCCTTTTTTCCTTCTTTCTGGTTTCTATAAATATATATACACATATATAGTCACTGGATACTTTCATATAACTGCTATTATCTTCAAGCTTGTGTTGTGTGTGAGTGTGTGGACTTTAATTGTTCTGAGTCAGGTCAGTAACTGTCAAATGACATATTGTCTCATTACTCACTCTCCCTACTGCCTGTTAAAACAAGGGGGTCGGTGCTGCTTCCCCTCCATCCTACTATCTAATTATCTTTCTCTCTCATTCCCCTTCTTTTCTTCATTCCCCTTCATTCTTCTGGCATCCTGGGCATTGCTTTTGGTCACAAACTCCTCAAAACCATGAAATTTATCTTCACTGACACTTCCATCTGTGTTAGAGCTCACTTTGGGGAAAAGTAGAGTCCCAGATTTGCCGGGGGTCACATATTTCTTACCGCTAGGGTGCTGAACAAGGACTATGAAATGGCATTCCACAATGCACCACTGGCTCCCCGATTTTTTTTTTTGTGGTCACACTGGGCCATGGAGACCCATTCTCTCACATGTGGGCCTACCAGCTTTCTCCTGCTTGATTTGAAGCCCCCAGAATTCATGGGTATTAATATGTCAAATGTGGTGGCTAGTTTAAAACATATATATACAACCGAAACAGTCAAAGGGTAAATAGGTAATGGGCGGTTTCTTGTACTCAGTCATAGAACAAAAGGGAATTCTAGCAAATAGCTGTAAATATAGTCGATTGAAAATAGGGCAAAATAACGATTTGTAAATATCACTGTGACTGCTAACTTCGTGAGAGCGTAATTCCGTAAGTTTTGGTCTGAATTTCGTACTTTTGGTTCATTACCATTAGGAATTATTTCTCTATCATTTCATAAGAATTTTTTTTTTTTAATTCTTTGACACTGAGAGCAAGTTTGTGAGCAGGGGTTGCAACAGTGAAAGGGTTAATAAATGTTATGTACAGTGCCAAAACTTTGTTTTTTCCTACAATAAGATGTCACAACTGAGTTAACATTTTCCAGCGTGCAAAGATGATCGCCACTGGTAATCCATGCCCAATTTGTCGAGATGAATACCTTGTCTTGGGCTACCGCAATGTTGATTTGTTAAAACAGTTTATCTCTGAACACAACGGAGCAATCTTATCTTATTCGTAAGTATTGAAGTGGTTTTTTATTCTGCTTTTATGCTGTGATGAGCAAATTTTCCTTTTTTTTTTTTTGTCTTCATTGCCAACATCTG